GCGCTTGTGCTGTGTTCTACCTTTCATTCAAACTGAAAATGAGTAATCACAGACTGAATGGCGAGTGAAGGAGAGTTAAGCAGTACACTTGCCGCAGTCTTTACTCTCACTGTCTTACAAGTGATGGCAGTTTGACACTGAAGCTTCGATACGTGCTTCAAACCCTGGACTTCCTATTCTATAGAAGCAGTGCTTCAAATCACGTGACATATGACGTCCGAAGCAGCAACTGCTTCATTTCCTGAATGAATCACTTGACTGGTTCGCGGTCCAATCACGCGATTCAATGCACTGCCTCGTCTCGATTCTGACAGGTGACAGGTTGAAACAGTTTCGAATTTGAGCGCTTCAACACTTTATAACCGCTCTAAACAATGCGCAATGTGTGGGTTGTTGTCCTAGTTTGCGTTGTTGTTGTTGGTATTGCATTTGTATTGGATCATTATAGAGCAAGCCAGGAAGAAAGATAGGTCGTTCTGGCTCGGGAAACACTTCAAAATGTGGAGAAGTTGTGGACAAAAATACAATTATGAGTATTAAAAGAAATAGATAGCCCAGTGGATAAAGCCGGCGGCCCGTGTGTGGCGATGTCCTCCACGCAACTGGTTTAAATCCTGGAATGGATGAACTTTGAATCATTGCCCGCTTTTCAACTTTAATACTATAACTGATAAAAGGCCCTCTCCGGCCAGAAAAATGCCTTTAGAAAAATACAAAATAAAAAGAATAATGTAGGCTACCTCAATAAAGATCTTTGAGTGTTCCCCGTCCCACATAATCACCCCCTGCCATAATTACACAAGCACACCCAACCAATGCCACATTTTCCAGCACTCTCTTCTCAATAACCCAATAAACACAATTATCAATCTTCAATTGCAAATAGAACATGATATTCCGTCTTAGTATGTGTGTGCATCGAATATTTTTCAAGGCAAAGATACGTTAAACCCACTGCAGCCTTGCACTTCGCCAGGAGAGGTCGCTTTAACTGAAGCTTCGAGAAATGAACCTATTTCCGACACAATTGTCCAAGTGGTTCGATGCTTCATTCAAAGCTTCATTTGCCCATCACTACTTACAAGTCTTCTTTCTTCTCTTTTTTTTCCATCCTTTCTCCACAACTAAACCATAGCTCTGGGAAAAAACAAACCTATTTACATATACTATGTCTGATCTATCCTTGTCCCACTTCTTAAACGTTTGATCAGTTTTATTTTGAACACAAGTTAAGTAATTTCCTAAAAAAAGCCACTGAAACTTTACAGGAGTAAATGGAGCATTTGTTGAGGACTATGTTCAGCATTGTGATGCCCCTGTGGGTTCATCTGGAGAGGGTGTGGCTGTGCTGTGGGTCTGGTGCCCTGCAGCTACTGAAAGCCTCTCTGCGCCTCTCCGTCTCTCTGCTTTTTCCTACAGGCACCCGGTTCTGTTGAGTATGCTGTTTGTTACTTTAGTTGCTTTACTTTGTGCACCTCAACACCCTCACCCTGCATTTACACTACTGATACCACTGACGTCCACACCTCATGCTTTACTCATTTTTGCACTTCATTAATTTGAATTGTTTGCTTAAATAAACATCTTTTATTAACCATTGATATGGTGTGTCTCCCACTTTGTTGTGGCCTTTTGAGCCAGGTCATAACAGCATTGATGCACATTTAGTGCGCTAGTGTGTGTTTACAGAACAGTGTATGAGGAATATACTATATTCCTTATGGTACGGTATGAAGGAACATGTCATCCAGAGCCAACATTTGGCTGACTATAGTTTATAAAATAGCTTTTGGTTTGACAATTATGGAACAGTTCTTGTTTTTTCACTGGATTACTTTACAATAACAATAACGTTGAATAACCTTCCATGTCATTCTCTCCATTCTTGCCCAAACGTGTGTCTCATGTCATACTTGAAGTGACCGCAAACACCTTTATACAGTTCTCAGGTTGTTCTTCCCTCAAACATCAAAGTAACTGTAGAGGGGATGCTGTTTTGAATCACCATGCAAGCTACTCCAACTTCACTCTCCCCTCTCCCTCACCTTGTATACATAAAGGTTAAATACATTTAAAAAAAAACACAGTGTAGTCCCATTTTAACTTTATTTTCCCTCAGGCAGGTGTCGTCAAGTAGGTTAACATCTGCCTTGTTCTGCTGTCCGCTCTGCCTCAGACTTTTTCTGTTTACCACTCTACCAATTTGGGCCTAAAGCCAAGTGGGCCCGATAGAGACACAGACAAAGACAGGGAAAACGGATAGAGATACCTCAGTGAACTTATTTACCCTCTATTGAACAAATAGACATGGACAGCCTCTGACCGGTTTAAGCTTTCTTATTAAATTCGCCTTTATTCCATTAATACCCTAGAAAATTCAAGAGAGGACTGTAACACTACTAAATGGAAGCGTTTACTTTCTGTTCATTTTATTGTACCTGAAATCTGAATTGATTTTTACGTAAACTGGTAAAGTTCAGATAGTTTCATTATGTCTTTACCTCTTATGTGTCACACCGACAAAATAACTTCATATCCATAGTGCCTTAGGCTCTGAGACAGCCAATTGAATTAAAGGAAACAAACTAATACAACAGTCAGCAGTCTCAGGAACAATAAACTCCTAATCATCTAGGAATAAAAAATAACCTGCGCTTGATGGGCCCGCAGGCAAACTGTGTGTGTGTCGGTGTGTGTGTGTGTAAGCTGCATTGAGTACAGTATGTAACTCCAGAGAGCATTAAACCACACTCTCCAGGTTGGAGCAAAACCCACTATGGGCCGGCTGAATGAAAACAATATCTAAACGTCAGTGGGTGGTCGAGGAAGGATGAAACGTGATGAAACAACACTGCCGGCTGCCCGTTGCCATTTTGCTCTGCGATTGGTACTTTTTATTATTTCCTCCTGGATATTGATTTTCTTTCCTCTCTGTTGAACTCTTGGGGCCAGCGAACAGGCCTCTGCTGCTCCCTGTCAACACTATTTCACAGAGGATGCGCCCGTACACACAGCGTACACACAGCGTACACACAGCGTACACACAGCGTACACACCCACAGTCACACACAAAGATACTCTGAAAACACACACACACATCTCAATGTTCACTTGGTCAATTCCCCCCTAGAAGGAAATAATCAGAGAGTCTATGGGGCACAGCGAGGGAGGGGATTTCAAGCATATGCAGCACAAACAAAATGTCCAAGCATCAACTCTCATTGGTTAATATTTGACATTTTGCACAAAAATGCTTTGTTTGATAATAATCAGCAGAAAAAAGAGCCATGTCCATTTGTTTTCTCATTTTGCATCAATACAGCTAACAAACAACAGTATAGATAGATCGATAGATAGATAGATAGATAGATAGATAGATAGATAGATAGATACAATAGATAGATAGATAGATAGATAGATAGATAGATAGATAGATAGATAGATAGATACAGTAGATAGATAGATAGATAGATAGATAGATAGATAGATAGATAGATAGATACAGTAGATAGATACAGTAGATAGATAGATAGATAGATAGATAGATAGATAGATAGATAGATAGATAGATAGATAGATAGATACAGTAGATAGATACAGTAGATAGATAGATAGATAGATAGATAGATAGATAGATAGATACAGTAGATAGATAGATAGATAGATAGATAGATAGATAGATAGATAGGTTTTTCATCCCAAATTGGGAAGTTATTTTGTCACAGGAGCAGTGTTGTCAAGTATTACACATGAGTGAAAAGTATTTAAAGATAGAATAAGATACACATATAATAAAACAATACATTAACAGCAAATATAAACATACTGTACTACTGTTGTAATACAAATATCCAGAATAAGACTGCAACACACTTTATTACAACGCAGAAAAAGCTAGAAAGTCAAACTTGTGGTAAGATTTTCCCGACAAACAACTGCGTGCAAGTTTAAGAATGAACTTACTGTGTTGTTGTAGAAATCAACAGACACTTTGCGATAGTTGAACACTTGCAGTCTGTACTGTGATTCCGCTGCGAGTTAGACTTAAAATCCGAAATAACAACTCATATGTGGTCTTCACTTTTTCGTCCTTCCATGACAGCCGCCTGCCTCGACCTTGACAACAATCTCCCTGAAATAATCACACAAAGCTGAAGCCTTTGGTGGCCTGCAGAGCTGCTCCCTGCTGCTGCACAGCATGACACCGCACTGTGTCCTTGTTTGTTGTTCTTTTGTATGTGCACTTGTTTTTGGCATGTGTGCCCCTTGTTTTCCAGTGTCAGCGTCATTGTGAAGAAGTAGCAAACAGTATAGAAGATATCTTAAAAAACAAATGCTGGATTGGGCTTTCACATGTCAGCCATCGGTGCTACATGAGTTGCAGAATCTAAACCGGTGAAAGTGTTTGTGTATGTGTTTTGCATTTTTGCCCATGGAAGCATTTGCATGAGCCTAAGGAGGGTGTTCATATTTGTATTCTCAACCCGAGGGTTTGAAAATGACCTGTCTCCTGCGATTATATCCTCGGTAACCAGAAGTGACGGGATAATTGTGAAATCTATTTAAAAGAATTGTAGCATCCCTCTCTTTCTCTCACTCTCTTTCTCCCCCTCTCTCTATTTCTCACCCCATGCCTCTCTCAGTTTTCAGGTCATAACTAGATCTTCCTCTTCACTCTCGCTCCGCTCACAGTCTATTTTCTCAGGGTTTCTGTTGTTTTCTCATTCCTTCCCTTCCTTCATATCCCTCCAGTCTCACGTTTCTTGTTCTCTTTCCACGTGCCACACTTTTTTTTTCTCTCTCTCTCTCTTGCTAAGTGTGTTTATACAAAAACCCAGCATCAGATCGATCCTGTGATGTCGCTGTGATCGATAACACCCAACGTGTCACAGTTTAGCCTGGAAACAGTGATGGACGATTTCTGTTCACATTGTACTTTCCACGTGTTGACATTTCGTTTTCTCCTCTCACACAATCCCTTTTCTCTCTTTCACAAACAGTGGCGTCCGTTCCTCCCTGGTCTGAAATATGAAGTGATAGACTCGGCCTACATCTCCCTGTATACAGGTAAGAGCTGTTCTGTTCTGCTGCTCTAATGACACAGTGCATTTTTCTCATACTGTCTTGGAAATGAAATAAACTGGATGATGAATTTTAAAATAACAGATATTTGTGGCATTGATACACATGGGACTCTTTGTCTTTTCTATTTCTAGTCTTTTTGTTTAGCCTAGTTCTCAGAAATAGAAACAGCAACTGATGCTATTAAAAAAAATGCATCTAATCTGGTATTCAACCATAAACATCTGCCTTTTTGATCAAATATGTTCATCTGCCTTCCCCTCAAACAAACCCACATTTATTGTCAGTTGTCCTTATTTTATATTTAGTTATTTCTCATAGGGAAGCTGCATATTTGAGGTCATGCCATGTCTACTCTATGTAGGACCAAAGAGAAGATACAGAATCTATTGGATGCTCTATTTCTTCTCTATAGGAGCAGAGATGAGAGCTCCCGAGTAGATGTCTAACCTCTATAGCTCCAAGAATAGATGTGTGTCACAGGGATGCAGTATTTTTAACAAGGGGAAATGCCAGCTGCACACAGAATGATGTGTGGAGTTGTCATTTTGGGAAAGCAGGTTGCTAGGGATGTATGCCTTCTTGTTTATGACTACGACAGTGAAGAAGGAGGCCTTGTACTGAATATGAGGTCACCTGCTGGCTTCAAACATTACCATCTCCTCATCTGTCCCCCTCCACCCATCCATCACTGCTCCTCCATTTATGCCATGCCCGGTTTTCTCCATTCTCTCACTGTGGAAAGTGTTTAATATTCATTCCCATTTGACACAGAGAAACATTTGTAAGCTCACCCAGCTATACTTGTCCTTTGCATTACTTAGTTTAATTAAATGTCAGATTGGATTTCAATTAACGTCATTGTGTGTTAGGCAGTCGTAACATTTAATAGGAACATTGGCTTTCTCAATCACAGAGTTGTGGTCAGAGGCAAATACATGGGTGACTCAGCAACCCAGTGTCAGATTGTCTACATTTGGGACATATTTTGACATGAGACGTAAATAAGTAATCATAAAGTAAGTTTTTCAGCTCATATCCAGTCTGTAGAAAACCAAGAATACAGTATTTGTTCCAATGTTGTATTTGTAAGTTCATTTTTCTACTCTCCAGGTAACTTATCTTATAAGTGAGTTGCAAAAATCCTACTGACCTAAAGCAGTTTTACTGTGTGTTATTGAATTTTTACAAATGAAATGCTCATTTATGTCAGGATAATTGTTCCTGCTATATTATCTTAATTTGCAGGGCAGTTCAGTATCCACAACAATTCCTTATGGTTTCTAAATCCCCTTTAGTGGTGCGATAATACTTTTTTACTACAGAATCAGTGGCCGTGTACATGAAAGCGCCACCCAGATGGTAGCCGTAAATGAATTTACACCATCACACACGCATACGCATTTGCTACACAGACCAGGAAATTCAAATAATCACAACACCGTTAACGGGTGCTAAATGTGCGTGGTATTACCATCTGAATGAGGTTTGTGCCATACAGAAATAATGTTGATTTTTCTTTTATTACACCCCGACGACATCTGCAACAGGATGGAAATAAATCCAAAGAGTTTTGTTGTTTTCTTTGTTTGTTTGCTTCTTTTGAGTATTTCCGTAACATAGATAATGAATTACAGCTGGCTTGTGTGAAGTGTAAAGCCATGTATGTGATCAACAGATGTTTTATTGTTAGAAGAAAGGGCGTCTAAAAAGAAGCTTTCTCTGTGTGGCGTTCACACACCCAATGTGCACCCTCCACCCTCTGGAGGATGAAAATGATGCTGACCACCCTGTTAATTATGAAGCATTTCTCCCATCAGGCCTTGCTCCTGACATGCCATTAATCACAGATGCGCTCTCCTCCTCTCGTGCTATCGATTTGGTATAATTATGACTCTGCTTTGCGCTGTATTTGTTTTGTTTTGTTCAACTCTGTTTCTGAGCCTCTCACGTTCCACCTCCTCTTCCTCTTCTTCCGGTTTGTCCTCTCCTCTCTGCCGTTCATTTGTCTTTTTTGTCACTTTTCATGGTGGGTATCGATTTGCGATGATGCAAATCAAATGTGCCCCTCATAAAGATAATCCAACAAAACAGTGAGTGAAATACTGATCGTCCTCTTTCCATCTTCTACATCATCTATAACTCAGTCTTTCCCTCTTTTTCTGTATTTTTCAGATGAATCCAATCTGAAGATGAACGCCGTGGACCACATCCCTCAGACCTTGGCCAGTCACGTCCGTCTCCCGGAGGAGTTTCACCCCCAGGCTCTGGAGGGAGGGGGTGTCCTGCAGCACGGAGCGGATATGCTGAAGCCGGACCCCAGGGACACCTTCTATAGCAGTAAATCTGCCACTCATCCTCCCCTTCTTTCTGTCTTCATCCGGATGTTATGGCCTGTCATTTTCCTGTGACTGATTGACTGTCTGGCTCTCAGTCTCTCTGGCTGTCAGTTCGACTGTATTATTCAGACTGTCATTCCTTCTGGCGTGCTGTTTTACATTTGATGTGTTTCCCTGGTTTTGACATTGCCCTGATCATCTCCCAGCTTTCTTTATTTTATATTTATTTAAAGCAGAATACGTATTTGTGTATACCTGATCTTAAATATTCTCCTCAGTTCCTATGATCGACCCCTCCCGACTGGAAAACGTTCTTCCGGCCTGTCTCTACTCTCCAACCTACGTAGTCAAAGACTTCCCCATCGCCAGATACCAGGGCCTGCAGTTTGTAAGTCTCCTTCCCTCTTCTTCGGAAAAATAGATGCTTATAAAGGCATTTCATGTGTTTGTGTGTGTATGTGTGTGAGAGAGTTCTAAATAAAAGTAGATCTATAGGCTAGTCAAAAGTGCCTCCGATTATGAAATAAGTTCAAACCTACAGAGTCAGCATGATATTCATATCAACTGGACAGAGGGCATGCTGGTTTGTACATCACCACTGTTCAAACCAACACGTTGATGAAGCATGTGGTAGGCAGTGTTGAGCGCTGCTTCCCCCTTTAGGCTGTTGTGTGTTACTGCAGCAGTTGCGGAGATAAGTGGAAATGAGCCACTAAAATGCATCAAATCCAATTTAAATTTGACAGAAATCACTGTGACAAAATACAGCTTTTAGTAGAGGGAAAAGCGGATTTTGCCTAAAATGATGCTTATTGCTAACTGAACTCCCTCTATCAGTGTTTTCCCAGGGGCTTATTGCATTTTTGATTGACATTGAACTTCTTCCACAGGTCTATCTGTCCTTCGTTTACCCAAATGACTTCACACGTCTCACCCACATGGAGCGAGAGAACAAGTGCTTCTACAGAGAGTCCCCTATCTACTTGGAGAAGTAAGGACATTATTGCTTATACCTCTCTGAGAGCTGAGGGAATATGTGTCCCTGTCTTGTAAATATGAGCGAGTAGACTGATTATGCAGAATAACTGCTCAAGTGTGAATATGAAGGCAGTGATTCATGCGACCTCTCAATAGTAGATTAAGTTTATTATGCTGCAAGGCACATTGGAACTTCAACCTTTTTTTAATATGTTATGTTGTGTGTGCTAATGAATGTGTGTTGCCTCCTCTAATGTCTGCCAGGTTTGGTTTTTACAAATATATGAAAATGGATGAGGAGGACGATGACAGGCCATTCTTTTTCCCCAACCCAGATGGTAACTAATATTGAACACACTCTCTTATCAGTCACACATGTATACACACACCATTTCAAATTGGTTTCTCCTTCCTATCTCCAGATTTCCTAGACGAGGAGGAGGTGGTAGACTTCGAGGACGAGGCGGAGATTGTTGGCACGCAGCCGCCCAAGAAGCCCTCTCATCCCAGCCACACCTCCAACCCCTCACATCCTCACTCGAAGCCTGCGCCCACGCCTGCTGGGAGAGAAGGGGAAGAAGAGGAGGAGGACCCAGAGGAAGAGGAGGAGGGGGCAGTCAACAGTATCAAACGTCGCAGAGAGAGGAGACACTTTCCTCACAGAGAGGGACAGATGGCTAAAGATCTGGACTGGGGAAGAGATCATACAAACGGGAGACAGGACACCAGGAAGGGACTTGAAGAGCCCCAAACCAGGGGGCTTCAGCCCGACACGGACAGCGTGGTCCCGCCTCGCTCCTTGTCGTGGATCCGCACTGGTCCCGCAGAGCTGAGTCCTGGCAGGAAAGGAGGAGGGGGAGGAACAGGTGGCGGGGGAGAGAAGGGAGCTGAGACCCTGCCCAAACTGAGCAAGTCTTCACTCCTCTTCCCCCAGAAGTCCTCCCTCTCTGCCCTTGCCAGCCGAGCCAAGCAGATCCGCAGCAACTCCGCCCACGGCAACAACCTGCACGATAACAACAACAACAACAAGGTCGGGGGGAAGAAAAAGAGGGAGGAGAACAAGATCTACATCACCCGGCCTCGGCCCGCCAAGGAACGGGAGAAGGACAGGGAGAGGGAGCAGCGTCGGGAGAGGAGGGAGGAAAGGAGGGAGGAGAGGGCATTGCGCCACCCTAGAGAAGTGTTCCCGGGGGTGTTTCTGTACCAAACTGGGAAGACCACTAGGCTGGTTAACCTGGGTGCCAAAGGACATGCTGGGGGAGGAGGCAAAAGTCTGGTTAGTGCCCCTCAGCTCTGGCCCAACCCCCCCACAAAAGAGGGTAAGACCTCTCCTCGCAATGGAAGCATCAACACTCAGAGTGAAAGTGTGCCGAAGTCTGGGGTCAAACAATCAGAGACAAGCAGGAGGAGAGGGGATCACGGGGGTTTACATACTACTGATGTACCCAACCAAAGGGACCCGCTGTCCCCGTTGTCCCCGCTGTCCCCGCTGTCCAATCATCGAGACCCCCCTGCTGTTACCCAGCAAAAGATAAACTCCACAGAGAACACGCTCCAAGGACAAACACGTGTCACCTCCTACCTCAGGACCTCAGAGATCACAGAGTCCCAGCAGCAGCCAGACCCCAACCCGGCAGAACTCCAGGATAGAAACCGCTCTAACCCCGAGCCAGAACCGGAGGAGGGAGAGTTGTCGGACTACAGCTACGAGGAGGTGGAGCCGCGGCCAGGTTGGGCGGAGGAGAGCATCAACTGGCAGAGGACCTTCTCCGTCAACCCCATGGACTTCGAGCTGCTGCGCTCCGACTGGAACGACCTGCGCTGCAACGTGTCCGGCAACCTGCAGCTGGCCGAGAGCGAGGTGGTGGACGTGCTGGCGCAGTACATGGAGAAACTCAACGAACGCAACGGAGGGTGAGTGCAGAAGGGAGGGAGGGAGAGTGATGTGAGACTACAAGAAGGTTCATGTTTCCCCTGCAACCTTGTGTGAGTTAAAATGCGTTTCTGTTTGCTTACCATTATGTAAAGCAAGAAGTAATTTAGCTGAGAACATATTGGTTATGCCCCGGTGCTTTGACTTCATGTTAGCAGGCCTCTATGTGCTCATTACCATTTGCTGCTGCAGTGCTTAAAAACCTCAATGTTGTTTGTGAAAAATAGCTCAGCCACTTCTTTTTTTTCCTTTAAAAATATACCATGCTGACTTGCCTCCAACTAAATATGGATAATCACATTTTCTATATGGTTTTCCCTCAATTAAGCAGAAGTAATCTAGTTTTGCGAATTATATAAGCAATAGTGTTTTATACAGTAGATGCATCCTCTCCCTTTTGCTGCATATCATACCCTGTACCAGCTACAGTATGTGTGTTTTTTTAAAGGGGGGTCCTTATAAGGTTTATACTTTTTTACTAGAATGTGTGTACATGCTTTAAGGTTAAGTTAACACATTTTTTTTCTCATACTGTTTGTCTTGACTTTTTCTTCTGGGGAGCCCCCCTCCCCAAAAAGCTCTGCCCTGATTGGTCAGTGTTTTGAGAGTTTTAATTCAGTATTTATAAAACTCCTACACTGGCTTTATAAACAAACCAAACATGATTATTTTTACAATATGGGACCTTTTTACCCCCTGCCCCAGGATCTACACCCTGCTGCGAATCGTTAACGTTGAGAAGCGGCGCGACTCTGCGAGAGGGAACCGCTACCTGGTGGAGCTGGAGCTGATGGAGCGAGGCCGCAGCGTGGTGCGTCTTTCAGAGTACATCTACCTGCTGCTCCACCGCAGCAGGATGGGGGAGGAGAGCGTAGAGAACACTGACTTTGCCCCGGCCTCACCAGCTCTGTCCCCAGCTTCGGTCCCATCCCCTGCCACATCCAGCCTGACCACACCACCACCCCCCCCTCCCTCAGCCAGATCCCCCGCCCGGCCCGGAGCGACACCCTGGAGCACCGCCTACGCTAAGCCTCTGCTCTGCCAGCCTGTCATGCTGCAGTGGAGGAGAGATGTCATGGTGCATTTTGTGGTGCCAGGTCAGTCAAAAGGCGGACTTCGGTCAACTTCCAAAACGGAGAAAACTGTCTAGAAGTAACTTTTAAACCAAGATTATTCACGTTTTATCTACTTTGTGTTGTCTTCTTACTGTCTTTCAGTGAAAAACCAGGCCCGCTGGGTACAGCAGTTCATCTCTGACATGGAGAATCTTCATCGCCAAACAAAGGATGACAATTTCAGCATCATCATCGTCGATTTTGAGAGCGAAGACATGGACGTGGAGCAGGCACTGAGAGACAGCAGTGTGCCAAGGTGTGTGTGTGTGTATGGAACACAATCAGCTGTGTAAAAGGTACAATATGTCTTCCAATGTTCAAGGCATCACCTGATGCGTGTGTATTTCTGTTACGACAGATATGAGTATCTGAGGAGAGAGGGGAACTTTGAGCGCTCGGCAGGACTGCAGATCGGAGTGGACACTATCGAGGTTAGAGACACAAACACAAGAGACAGCAATATGCGAGCTGGCGGGAAAAAGCCACACTCTGAAGGTCAGCCACTCTCACTGACCACATGACCTTTACTGATGGACAGACAGAAAGAACACTCGTGCATAATGAGTACATCACTGCCACGGCGGTCTGTCACAGGCTGTGGATCTCACCCTTTACCTCCCCCTGCTCCGTTTGCCCTCTCACACTGAGCCCGGCCGTGGGTGACAGGGAGCCGCTTAGGCAGTTAGCTGCAATTCCTGTGTCATCTATATGCCAAAGTTGTCACATCCAGTCCCTTTCACAGGTTATTTGTGTGTGTGTGTGCCCTTACCCTGCTCTCTGGCTGTCTCTCTGTCACTCACGCACGCACACCCACCCACAGGGGCGTGGAGCGGCTGGAAATGTGGACAGACTTTGATCCGTCAGTTGAGTGTCGGTGCTGTCACGGTGGGATGACATGGCCGTCACTCATGTCTGAATGACCCGCAGGCTTTGGGAGTGAAGAGAAGCCTCTGATGCCCAGACTTCTCTACTTTCTTTAATCCTAAAACCCCTTGTGTGAACATCCACAGAATCATAAAGCAGACACACTTTTATTTCTCTTTTTCGACGTAATTGTTTTTAATTTAGATGTAATGTATGTGTCACGTTTGTGTGTTTTTTTTCTTCTTCTTGCAGGATAGTCACAGCATTGTGTTCCTTTGTGATCTGCACATCCACTTCCCTCTCAACATCTTGGAGAGCATCAGGAAGCACTGTGTGGAGGGACGCCTCGCTTTCGCTCCCGTCGTCATGAGACTCAGCTGCGGCAGTTCGCCACGGGAGCCCGATGGTAACAAACACATTACATGCATACATGCTCATACAGGAATTATCTCACTCACGTATTTACACAGTTTTCCAGTTTTTAAGTTTGACCCGTCACTCAAACTAATTCCCCAGTTCCAGACAGCAGCTTTGAATTCATAATGACAGGATTTAAATTAACATGCATAATTTCTAAAGGCTGTTGCATCACGAGAGGCTGTTATTGCAATGGGACCAATATTTCCTTTTAACTTTCTTTTTGTTCTTTCTGTAGGGTACTGGGAGGTGAACGGCTTCGGCTTGTTTGGAATCTATAAGACTGACTTTGATAAGATCGGAGGGATGAACACGGAGGAATTCAAAGACCGCTGGGGGGGAGAGGACTGGGAGCTGCTGGACAGGTAACCCAGCAACAAGCTGACACAGCAGCCCCTTCAATGAATGCTATTATATTGGCATACACTACATTTTCCTTTACTGTCCCCCGCAACTCTAAGTCTTGAAGACATTCCTGCTGCCATCGCTGTGTTTGTTTATGAGCTATGGCGACCTGGGACAATTACGTAACTGCGACCAATGACATCATTTGTCTTGTTTTGCTTGTTTTAGCGTCCATGACCCATTTTTCGCTGATATCGACCCTTGTCCGACCCACCTCTCGACCTGGGTTACAAAGTAATGTCGGTCAACAGTGGATAACCTTTTCAAACACAAAACCAATGCTGGTTGAGCCTTCAGTGTGAAAAGGGTATTAGAAGGTTAATGAGTCCGTTTTAGTTTAGACTTTGTTGGAGAAATGTCAAGTCTATGGTAACGATAAAGTTGGAGTTAACACATTATATGCTTTTCAATGGTAGTTGTGTTCAGATTGCATCTTTTTTCTTGGATTGTCAATGTTGTAGCATAATGTTGTAGCATAATGTATATGGTAAATGACCTTTAAACATTGAAGGTGTAAAGTGTGCACAATGCCAATAGGGTGCAAGTGCAGGAAAAAACCGCATTTGAAGGAAAAACATTGACAGTCTGCACAGTGGATGTTGCCAGCTCCCAGTGTTGAATGTTCAGTGTGTGAAAATGAACATCAAGAAAGGGCTGCTGCAATTAAAACTAACGAGCGATCTTTGGTAATCGAAGCAGCCAGATGGATAATTGAGCATATTCAACTAAAACGGTCTGCATGTTTAGATACCACCCAGATGTAGGTTGGCTAAACTGACACAAAACAAATAAAGGAAGGTCTGTTACATTCAAGCCCTTGCCAAACGAGTTCACACAATGTTGATTATGCCTATCGCAGCCAGGGAAAGTTCTGTGTATTTGGCACTTTACAGGAATTTGGGTGTCTGGCATCTTTGGCAACTTTTCTGCACTGGTGTATGTATGCCTGCAGATGACCAAATGCAAATGTTTCGACTTTAATCCTTCCTCTGAAAGCTAAACTTATTTTCTCATCTTGAGCATCAACGTCAGAAACGTACTTAAAAACGCCAGACTTTGAACTTCTGATAAAAGAAGCAAATATTTGATCAGCCTATTTTAGACAGCCACTGATCGTCAGTAATTTACACATGACCTAGAAACAGTTGCAATGATTAACACAATTATTTCTGCTGATGAATATAAGCCCAGTTTTAATCCAGTGATTTTCCCTCCTGCCTTTTCTAGGGTACTGCAGAATGGTTTGGAGGTAGAGAGACTACGCTTAAGAAACTTCTTTCACTACTACCACTCCAAACGAGGCATGTGGAACACCCAAAACAAGAAAACTCCTAAGGGATAGCTCCCCCTGCTGGTCGGAGGATACTAAAACTACCTGCAGATCCACTGTGTGTGAGAGAGAGACCTGTAGGAGCTCACTCACTGCCTGAACTCTGCCTTTATTTACAGGCTCCTGTCAGGGACGCCTCTGTTTGCCATCGGCCCCTCTTGTACGCTTGTGGGTATGAAGACAGAGTCCAAATCTGAACTTAACAAGTGAACTGTTTACGCAGACAGACCTGAGTCATCACTTTGCCTCACTGACTCAACTACTGTACAGAGAGAAGAGAGTTGTTTTTGTTCTCCCTCTCTCTGTCCTTATTTTGGTGCAATCTTTTCAGACAGACTGGAAAGCAGCTGTTTCTGTGTATGTGTGGGTATGTACATATATAAGTGTGTGTGGGTGTGTTGCCGCTTGTGTGTGCTTACGATGACAGGAAGCACCTTTTTTTCTAACAAGAAGATGTGAAGACAACCTAAGATCTTTTTTCTAACACGCTCTCACCTGAGAGCCTAATAGAATGTGTGTCAACATGTTATTCAGATAGATTGAGACATGGTGGCGTAGATCGAGTAGAGGAACTCTGAATTTCTAAATACATCAAATACTACCTGTTGGTTATCAATAACCAGTATGTCCGACGTGCTGATATTCTCCTGATAACATGATATTATGAATAATTGAAAGTTTTTGAAACAGTAATGCCCTTTTCCAAACAGATACTGAAAGATACGTCATCTTTATATCTCTCTCTTTCCCTCTCTCTCCCTCTGTATCTTTTATAACCTTCAGTCCATTTCTGCCTTTGTCTGTTGTAATGTCATGCAATTTAATTTTGTTTTTGTTGAAACATTGCTCCACCCATATTAATGGTAGCTATCAGCTATGGCTCGATTCATTTTTGTTTTACTGTTTGTTATTTAAACGTTTTTTATGTGTCCTCACTGAGTACGAATGCACAAATATTTGGGGTGCTTTTTTATTTTCTTAAACACTGAATTTGTGAACAGTTTACAACGTTTAACTTACAATATCCTCTATTCCCTCCACATCGCTTATGTATTTGTATCATCAACTGGAACAGACAACTCTTACATGAGGGAAGGAGAAGACAACAACGTCTTTCTGACATTTTATTTAAAGTGGACCTATCATGCTATATTTGAATAATATATTGTAGGGCCATACCTATATAAGGCATATTTATACGTTTTCTTTTTCAAAATACCAAACAGATCATGCATTTTAGCCATGCCTCATTTCGCTCTATTTTGCTCTCCTCCACCCCTGTCTTTGCATGCGCTGCAGATGACCACGCCCCCCTGCAAAGGAAGGGGCCGAGTTACGAGCGTCATGTTACCATGCTGTTACCATGCCACGGCAACCTCTCATTCCCCTGATAGGTGGAGAGTTGGCCATATAGGCGGAGCTCCTCCGTCCTGACGTCAGAGAAATGTTCAAATCTGTATCAGTCTGTATCAGATCCGTTGCAGCCCCGTTTGTAGAGATTTGGGTATGGAGGAAAAGAGAGGGTTGTGTTTTCTGACACTTGGTGAGTTCCCTGGAACACCGGGGACACATATTCATGTATAAAAGACGTACAAAAGTGCATTTTGCATGATAGGTCCCCTTTAATGTTGTCACATTTTATTAGGCATTTTCCGAGCTTAGTGTCATTTCAAATATTGGATTTGTGGGATCTCTACCTCCAAGACAGGAAATGCTTAGCTATCGAAAAACACTCTTCTTTTTCGACTTGCACAAAGCTCGAACAGAAGGGAGACCAGTTAATGTGTCGTGGCAAGGCATGGCTGTTTCACAAATGTGTGCCTTTATCAGGGTTTGGCTGCAGGCAGTTTTTAAACTATTCTAATGACAGAGGAGGGCAAGGGACAGACAACAAATCACAGTTATTTATCAGCAGGCTGTAATGTCACTGTACATCCAGCTACATTGTAAGACGGATACAGTTCTCTTCAATGGATTACAGAGGTGTCAGTGTGTCCGTTATACTACTAGAAAGGAGTGGTTTAAAGCCAGTTGCCCCATTGGTGAGATACACGGAGATGGTACTAATGACTACTGAGTGAAATACAGAGGTGTGATGGAGACTCACAGGCAGCTGCAGTACAGCCGGACTCCACCTGCTCCCATTAGTTTGGCTGGAGGCCGTGCTCCTAATGCCTCTGTTTATGCAACATGGTACTTATATTGATGGGGAGTGGCTGGAAGGCTTAGACTGGACATATATGTGGATGAGATTTAATGATCTGTTATTGACTATATGATTGTCAAAATGCCATCCATGACCCTTTCTTTGCCTCTACAGGAAAAAAGGTCTTCACTGTAGGCCAATTTATACTGATATGGGACTATTTAAAGAACAAAAGAAACACATTAAATATAAGACTAAATATATAACAAACGTAAAAATGAAAAATAGGAATATACATTCCAAGGTAATTTCTGTGAAATTGTTTTGTAGAGAAAAGGTTTTAAGAATGTATTGTACTTTTTTTGATTTGTGTTTTTTTTTGCAAATAAACTTTTATGCTTACGTCCATATAATTTTTTCAGATGCATATTTTCTTTGTATCTTTTCTGTGAGACAATTGTAAAATATTTCATCAAAACAACTCTATTTCCTATTTTACCACCAGGGGGTGCTCCACACATACATTCTATTTAACCCGCAGGCATACAGTGGTTGCATGACTTCAAATTCAAAGACATGAAAATGAAGAATAAATTGACATAGTTTCAGCAGGAAATGGGTATATTAAGTGTAGGAGAGAAGACGTCATAGAGTGAGTAGATAGACGAACATTTTCGAGAAGTATGAAAAATCCCCCTCCTACACACTCGCACACAAACAGAAGACTGTCTCGGATCACTTCCTTTATGCAAAAAGTAAAAAAAAATCTTAAACTCATTCCAGTAAGGGGACATGAAGTGTGTTTTAATTTTTATTTCCGGCAAAGGATTGTTACAAGGTCAATGGTTTTGTAAAAGGTAGGAAGTGACTGTGGATCAAACAACCGCTAATGGCCTTTTAATTAATTTTTTTATTAAATACTTATAAGTATATTCAGCTAGATTATGAAATGTTCAAATTCATGATTTGAAACACATTTTGCCATGATTCAAACAAGCCCTGGTCAGTTAGAATTAATAGATACATGTAAGTAAATATGACATGTTAAAACACTGTGCAACCCTGACTGTGTGTACTCTGTAGGACTGACATTTCTTTATTAAGTTACCATTCTGAGTTAAAAGCATCGATTGTGTTTTATGACCTACACAAATAGAAAAATAAACATTAGGAAACATTTTGAACTCCAACAGAGCTGTAATGTTTCCAGGACCAAATGTAATCAATTGCAGAGTTTTTTGTTTTTCTTTTGAGTTGTTGATCCCCCCCCTGTGTGCCACTTTGCTCTGGGTGGGGGTCTGCCCTGCACGCACACAGAAACCATGAGGTAAGCAATGTCCACACCAAAGCTCCATGAGGTCTGGATGAGGCAAGTGCTACCTTTCTGTGATCTCCTCTACGCCCTGTGTGTCTTCTAAACTAATTTGGAGGAGTTTGACTAAGAGCGCAAATCTTTGGAGGTTTAATGGACTGAAAGGTTGACTCCCTACACAGATCCCCTGACTGAATGATTCATAGACCATGATGATGATGATGATGATGATGATGATGATGGTGTGTGAGAGTCACTTTTTCACTTTAAAATGTATCTTTAAAAGTACATACCAATATGTCCTATAACATGTGACATGTCTGTATATGTACAAGACACAGTGCACTTTCACAATGTGTTGCAGTAGTGTGACTGTTTAACCACAAACTCATTATGTAAAAGTTTTGGATTCTCTCCCAGTGGAGGCACGCCCACTACCTGTCTAAGTGAGTGTGGAGTGATGAGAAGCAGGTACTCACAGGCCTCTTCAACAAGTTTGCTTTATTGATCTCAAGCAGGTTACAGCACCTAACCAGAAACAACAAACAGGGACATGCAGTGCTTCAAACTGAAGTTTCGTAAGAGCATTTATAAGTTGTTTTGAAAGCAAGATCTGACAACATTTTTTAAATGATCTCTATAAAGCGCAATGAATTAGCACAGAGTATGGACTGTGTATGAAACATGAGCAGTACAGTTTCCAAATTACAATTTTTTTTAAAAAGAAGTAAAATGGCATTTGCTTTTTTAAGCTGTTACAACACACGTGTCTCCCTTATAATCCCAAATAAGATTTGGAAATGCACTTTCAGTGAAATCCTTAAGCCTAATTAAATAAAAGTAAACACCCCACCTCTTGCAATATTACCAAGAGCTTTAGAGATTCAATTTATGTAACAGGGTACAGGTGAGAGATGAGCTCATGTCCAGGGTCAACAGAGTATAACATCTGCTTGGTTTGAAGTTTGGTTCAAGTGACTACAATGAAGAATTGCCCCAGACCCATTAGTATAATAATTTACAGGGAAAATCTAGCCACGGATTTATTCAGTCATGTATTACTGAAATGTGTTGACTAAACATTACTATAGGCCTATGTATGTGTGGTTGAATTTGGTATTATACGATACAAATAAAGACTGAAACCGTGGTAAACATACATAGTTAAAAGTTATGTTAAAAGGATTTTGAGTGAATGTGAAGAAAAGTGTGTATATCAAACCTAGAAGCAAATACAGCCATTTGTAGTTCACACATGTTGAGGGAATTTGTGTTATGCTTATCTGAGGCAAAACTAATGTACTTATTCTCCAAAATAAAGGAAACATTTGGAGCGAGTCCTGATTGGCTGCCCGCAGAAATCGTCCCTCTCCTGATTGGTGCTTGAGCTGCTTCCGTGTTGTCATTCAGCAGCGGACTCTCCTTTCACACATCTGTAGCTCAGTGTATCCAACAGCCTGTTCCTGACCGAGCACCGTCCGGGACGGGAGTGGGATGAGCTAGTATCGGACTTTTCCACGGTTATCTACGAAAACGACACAGTTTCGGTCTGCTGGTCAGCAACACGGGATATATTGTAACTAATGAACTCAGGTCTGGCTGTTTTCAGAGAGCTGGGAGACACTCCGTCGTATTTTAAAGAGTTTGGATACTGCAGGAAAGTTTAAATCCCTGCGCTGTCCGGGGGAAAGGTGAGACGGGTGCGACTTTAACTTCCCCGGCTTACTCATTTGATAATAACAACAACATATTAGCTATCGAGCAGCATTTTACCAGCGTGTGCAGTTGTGTCATTTCTCTATCCTGCACCGAACTATGTTTAGCAGCATGTCAGTCAACGGTGCCGCTGTGTAACCAGTTCTTCCAGCTCTGCGGGGAGTTTCGACTGCTGCTTGACTGACTTCAGGTAAACCGCTCACCAGGTTTGCCGCTTTGCTTCAAAACCCTTGTTCAAACAGTTTCACAATAATGGCTGGTTTGAGCAATGCCCACATGAAAACCCTGGAGGACCTGACCCTGGACTCTGGCTATGGGGCGGGGGACTCGTGTAAATCCCTCAGCCTGTCCTCCTCCAAGTCCAACTCGCAGGCCTTTATGACGATCCCTCATCGGGGAAACTGGTGGTACTACTCCGGCTCTATGAACAGCAGGAACAACAGCTGGGACACGGTCAACACGGTCCTCCCCGAAGACCCGGAGGACATATTCTCAAAGTGTCCCCGCTTACCTGAGTTGGAAGAGTTCCCCTGGACCGAAGATGAGGTGGCTAAGATACTTCGCAAAGTGGCCGGGAGTGGGGGCATTAAAGGCGGACCCACACCTGTGTTCTCCCCGGATGCCGTGCGGCGGCTGTCCGCTCTCCTCCGCCGGGCTCTCATCCGCATCTCCAGAGAGGCTCAGCGGCTCAGCGTCATGCACTGCCGCTGCACGCGCTTCGAGGTGCAGAGTGCCATGAGGCTGGTGCTCAGCTGGGCCCTGGCCGACCACTGCGTCTCTGCTACGGTCAAGGCCATCTCCATGTATAGCATGAGCGCCGGGGAGCTGCTGAGAAAGGGCAAGTCGGCCCGCTGCGGCCTCTCCTTCTCCGTGGGGCGCGTCTTCCGCTGGATGGTGGACACACGCATCTCCGTGCGCATCCACGAGTACGCAGCGATATGCCTGACCGCATGCATGGAAGCCCTGGTGGAGGAGATAGGAGCCCGGGTGCTGATGGCCGAGAGGGGTCACCCAGG